GAGAGGAAGTCTGAACTGCACTCTCTCTGTCTCCTTAGACAATATGTTATGGTACACACATGAGTACACATAATTGTGTAAACACACACAGGCACACACAAGGAGACACACACCCAGAGGCGCCCACACCTAGTCCATCTTCCAGGCACACTCCCCCACAGCAAGGAAGTTATCACGGTACACTTTCTGTCACTGTGGGTGTTGCACCAGGGTCAAGGTATACTGAGATTTGTGACAGACAGCAAGACAGACACAAAAGAGCCAGTCGGGGGATCATCCAAGCTACTGACACACTGAGTTATGTTTTGAGGTTGACCATTGTTTTTCTCGTGGAAAATATTGTTCAGATCTACAAAGGCCGAGGTTTTAAAAATGCACTTTTATCACATTAAAGCAAAAAAAAGGGAAAAAAATAATTTACATAAAACTCAGACAAGGTCAGGGAGAAACGAGGTTCTTAATTTAGTCTAATCAACTGTCATTTGCATCGCGCCATTTGCGCAAGGTATTGCCACTAACTGAATAAATGGACTTCTTCAGACTCAAGGGGGGGCACTCCGGTTTTGATAAGCTGGCAACATAACTGATTTGCATATATTACTTTGATTATCTCATTACTAGGATGATTCTTGCGGAATTTTTGACACTCGCGCAATCGAATTAAAATTAAGGCACGCAATCAATAAAAGGGCAACGCGCCTGTGAAAACACACAGCGCCCCAGGTTTGTATGGTCAACTAGCGGTGATGATGAGGATGGTGATGATGAGGATGATGATGTCGATGGTTATGGTGATGATGAAGCATGATGACCTCTTCAGTTCGCGAGCTCCCTGGACCACGCTGGAGGTTTACGAGAGTCTCGGGCTCTTGATTCCTGTGATCAAAGCAGTAATCAGTGGAGACAATGAGGGCCGTGAAATTGCCGCTCTCGTGTGGGTGACCTATCCACCTGCCATGAATCCAAGAGTGGCCCGCAGGCGTCTCATGTTCCCTCAATCGATAATGGCGCTCACATCTTTCCTCCGACTCAACCCATCTGTGGAATGATGAAATCATGCGTAAAGACGCGCATGCAGGCGCTTGGATGATTTGTGAGGCGGTAGCCACAATGACCTGCACATGGGGGGGATACAGCCGTGAATGAGGTTGGACTCCAGAGTATAACCAGGAATCATCTGCCACCAGACCCTTCAGATCTGCACTGATGAACTACATTAAATATTGCATTTATTATTACATTTAACGGTTTGCCAAACTACATCCGGTCCATATCCTTCGCGGTTTGCTGTTTGTTCTAATATCTAAATCTATTATCCTACATTATAACAAGTGGCCCATTTGTTGCCACACATAATTTGCTTGAGAGAAGGAGACTGCGAAACTCCTTCTCTCCTCTCCTAATAGTCTCTCCCTCGTCTGCGCACTAACTGGGAGCAGAGGCACACGTCCACGTTTTAAATTCATGATGTAAATAATTATGGGTCTGGAAATTGATTTCCTTACCACCTTCTCGAGCAAACTAGGCCTCCAAAAAAAAATCCTCTCCCAAGGAAAGCTACTTCTGTTGAAGCATTAAGTCATTAATTATTTTCCTTACATAAGGACAAATTATCGAGTCAGTTGAACGAAATTAGAACCCTTTGTTTCTGATCAGACCGCATTACCGCTGGAAATTACGGATGATGGCTGCGTGCGCGCTCGCCTTTGTTGTTTCGATCATCGCCTGTCGCTCTGAACTCGCGCTAACAAAGTCATTAAATTGACTCCCTCTCGCTCTCATTATGCGGGCTGTTAATAACCGCTAATTAACTTTGCTTACGCGCGCCTTAAAAGCCTCCCTCCCCTCCCAACACACACTCGCTCCCTCTCTCCTTCTTTTTCCTGCTTGGCCTCTCAAGCAGAGCAAGTGTCCAATTATGTCAGAGCGCGGGGATGGATGGAGGATGTGCCGTCGTCACCAAGGACAGTTGGTGCAACATGGCGATGCAAAGCGGAGGCAAACTTGAGGGGGCAGCGGAAAACGCAACGGCAAATTAGTAGTAAAATTATTACAATAATAATGTGAAATGCCTCACGTGCTGACCTGTCTCCTAAAGGTGGGTGGAGGTTTCCGCTTTGATTACATTTAATCCACCCATATGAACTGGCAATATAGGCAGTGGTGAGGATGGTGCAGGAAAGCGCGGTTACAGATGAATGGTGCAATATGCTCACCTGTGCGAGCAATTTGCTATTCCGTCCAGAAGATGGCGCCAGCTGAATGACCTGCTATAGGCCCACCGCAACCTGCTGGCCCTAGATGGACTTCATGAGTATCACTTCCATGGCCTTCAGAGAGGACGAGGCATGCGCTACAGATTAAAAAGAAAAGAAAAAGGCCGAGGCACGCCATTAAAATGCACGCATGCACTACTAAATGCGTCATTAGATGAAGTTTCCTACTGGCGTGAATGTGTTCAGAGGCCTCTGGACTTTCTAGGGTCTAGTTCACAGCTGCACAGCCACAGTATGCGAGCGTTAAGCGAACAGAAAAGCGCACAAGCCGGTGTTTCCCCTTGGATATTATCAAGTTAGGATGTTATGAAAATACAGGGTGGGGAGGGGGTGGGGAGGTGGCGCTGCAACTGAAGGCGGCCTCTTTCCGCCATCTCTTCACCTGCACGTCAAACAGACGGGAAACTGAAAAATGTGAAAATTACGCTCAGGCTATTCCGTCCCCCTCTAATGTATGCGCGTAATTAGTGCATTTAAACAAAGCGCGGATGTCCTGCTGGCTGAAATGGCGGCTGACATCTCTTTTTCCACAGGGTTAATAACAGTGTGCGGATAAATGAATCAAATTGTGGCCCCCAAATTACAGAGCGACTCTAAATACCCGTCTGTATTACGCACGTCTGTTTGTGACCGCGCAGGGAAAAGGCATAACATTTTATATAGTTATTACACTCATTACATTGATTTGCGTGCAAAATAAACAAGCTCGGAAGTTTGTGACACCACAAAATAAAAAAAAAATAATAATAATGCTAATAAAAAGTTGCAGATAGATTAAATGTGACACCATCAGTGAGGTGACAGCATGCAGGACTGCGTGTTTTATCGTGAACGCGGATGACGAGACGATATTGGCTGTTGTCTTTGTGCCGTCTCGTGTCGCACATTTCACAGGCCTTTGAGGAAATGTGCGCCACGAAAGGTTAATGCTATCAAAAAAGCGTTACTTTTCCTCTCATATTACACTCCCGCCGATACTTCTATAAAAGCAGCTATGTTAACTTTTTGTAAGGCTCTTAAATGAAAAGAAAAAAAAGGAGATGAAACCGAGTTAGGTGGGTTTACCTTCTTCTAATACTAAGCGACCTGCACCTTAACTTAACTTTGCTGAGATCAATTGCGCTCTTATTCCAATTCCAATCACAAAAGGGGCCGTAAAGCTCTGACTTAAAAATAGATAAAAGAGAAGAGAAGGGGGGCAGCTTGTGCAATCTTGGACATATATTTTATTGTTATTTTTCGTCTGCTGCGAAGCTCTAGCTGGGCAGATATATACTGAGGGGAAGAGGAGAGAGAGTGGGAGAGAGTAAATTGCAGCTTGCTGAAGTTTTTGGATTGAATTCTGAAAATGATCCTTTTAACAGTGATGGGCTCTGAGGCGAGGATAGGGGTCATGCCATTCACAGCGGGTTAAATAGACTTTCATTTAAAATTACATTCTCGATCCATCTCTCCATCTCTCCCCCTCTCCACAGCGGAGTCCCTGCGACTCCCCGTGCGGCGTCTCATCACCGCGCGCCACCCTCACTTTTTAAGTCAATCCCCAACTCCAGCAGAGAGCAGGCAATTGAAGAGAGACAGAAAGTAAGACATAGATAGATAGATAGATAGATAGATAGATAGATAGATAGATAGATAGATAGATAGATAGACTAATTAGATGCATGCATTAATGCTTATACTCCTGTCAAAATAAACTTTTGTTTTTAAAAGCTCCAAATTCTGATCTCTGTGTTGATCTTTTGGCTTCTATGTGACTCAGTCTGTGACATGGCTCACGCAGGTGCAGTGGTTAAACACAAACTCCGCGCCAGATTTTTGTTTTCTTTTTTTTTTTTTGCATGTTGGCACAAGGATTAGCCATGAGCTTAAAACTAATGGAGAAATAGCCTAAAATGTTATAGTTATCATTATAGTAGAAAAGTAATAATAAAGACCATGGAAATAATCAAAGAAGACAAAAGCCTATTCATTATTATTATTATTATTATTATTATTATTATTATTATTATTATACTATTTTTACTGTTATCGTTATGTTATAAAATTACTAATAAAAGATGTAAATATCCTCGTCATTATGGACATTACTAGTATTTTAAATTATACTGCTAATACCATATTTTATATATACAATGTACATGGCAAGTAGGCTAGCTGTTAGTAGGCTTTTTCCCCAAAAAAGCTGATAGGCCCCAACTCTGTTTTATTCAGATACCCGGTTAGCTGGCACCAGTAAGCCAGCAACATCAACTTAAAAGTCAGCTATTATTATTTTTTATCGTTTACGCGTGTGCTTTTATTTTTGAAATGTAATGGCGTGTAACCTGGGGAAGGAAAAAAAAGCTGTGAAATTGTGCTTTGTAGCCTTATGTGTGGTACTTTCCTCCAAAGTCATTGTGCTAATGACATTGTTACACTTGTTAGCCTGTCAGCACCCCATTGCTTTATTAAATGAGGCTATATCGCTAATAAATTAGAGTAAGTAAAGGTGTTGGAGACATTTTACACCAACGAGCAGGAGAAGTCGTTATTTTTTTGTTGTTTTTTTGTTGTTGTTTTTTTAGTTTCTTTGGATTTTGCTGCTCCATCCGCTTGAGTCCGTTCCGCGGAGGAATGGGAAGTCCATGTCGGGTTTTGTCGCCTCTCCCTCAAATTAACTTTAATGTAAAATATATAAAGCAGCTGCGCGCTGTCTCTCTCCCCACATACACACACCAGCCAATCAAGAGCGCAGCAACAGCCCACACGTAGCCTATGCTGAGCGAGCGCGCGGAGCGGAGAAGCGCCTGGCAGACCCGGAGCGCGACGCGAGGCAGCCAAACCGCTGTCTGTCATTAGCTGAGAGTGTGACACAGGAGTGACAGAGGGGAGAGAGGAGAAGGAGAAGGAGGGAGGAGTGAGCGGTCCCGGTAAACAGACGAGCCGGCCTGAGAGGAGCCGAAGAAAAAAAGAAGAAGACCCCGAGAGAGAGGAAGGGGAGAGAGGTAGAGAGAGGGAGACTGACAGGCGTTACCGAAAGACAAACCGAAGCGTCGACATGAGCGGTCAGTTTGAGGAAGATATCCACGACCGGGGCGAGAGGAAGAGCAGTAAATCCCCGACACTGCTCTCCTCTTACTGCATAGACAGCATTCTGGGCCGCAGGAGTCCCTGTAAGGTCAGACTGATAGGGGCTCAAAGTTTGACGGGTCTGCCCGGCAGAGTGGAGCTCGACAGGACCGCCGACGGTGAGTTTATTTTAAAGGGAAAATTGGAATGATAGTTTACATCGGTTATTTGGCAGTTTTGTAAGGAGGGGTGGATTTGTAACAAAGCAAACTAATTTAGCCCTAAAGTATGTGAGTAAGGCTTCAGCAGGAGTTTCTCTAATGAAGCTTGTAGGTGAGCCCATTATAGCCCCAAGAATCTCTCTTTGGTTAATTAAAGTGTTTCCACGACTAAGCAGGTCATTTTAAACGCCGGTGAAAATATTACATTTTATTTTAGCTTTGAAGAAAATTGAAGTGCCTGTTCATTATTTTTGACATCCTTCACACGCTTCTCTCTCAGGGCCAACTAAAGAGCCAATCTCTCTCAGCGCTGACATGCACCTGCCTCCAAAGCTCCGCCGGCTGTACGGACCTGGGGGGAAGTATCTCCATGAGCACGCAGAGAAGCTGGAGAGGGAAAGGCTCCTGCTGGAGCAAGCTAGCGAAAGCCTCAAAATCAGCCAGGCGCCACAGGTGAGCATCAGCCGTAGCAAGTCCTACCGAGAGAACGCGTCGCTGAGCCGGGGAGAGGGTGACCAGAGCCCCGGAGAGGCCTCGGAGGACGGCAGCATGGGACTGGTGGAGCTCGGTCCGCTGAAGTTTGAGGAGGACGCGGGGAAGGAGGAAGAGGGCTGCGGGGACGCGGTGGCGCTATCCCCGAAGGACGAGGAGAGGGAGAGCTTGAACGCCGGGGATGGGGACGTGAGGGACGGGGAAGACAGCGTGTGTCTGTCGGCGGGCAGTGACTCGGAGGAAGGGATGCTGAAACGGAAGCAGAGAAGATACAGGACTACCTTCACCAGTTACCAGCTGGAGGAGCTGGAGAGAGCTTTCCAGAAGACGCACTACCCCGACGTCTTCACCAGGTGAGAGAAAAGAAAAAAGAAAAGAAAAAAGAAACAAACAAAAAAACAAAACAAACAAGAAGTGTTTGGAAAAAATGTTGTTTTTTATTGTAAAATTTTAACTTAAAAAAAAACAACCAGTTTGTTATTTTCAGTTATTCTGCATCACTCCTTAACGAATTAAAAAACGACGATTGTAGGCCTATTAAATTGAATTTTAATTTCCATGTAAAATATATATAACTGCGTTGCCCTACATTATTATTATTATTATTATTATTATTATTATTATTATTATTATTATTATTATTATTATTATTATCATTATTATTATTATCATTATTATTATTGTTGTTGTTATTATTGTTATTATTATTATAGCTAAGAGTTAAATGAACACGCTTAAACCTTAAACGAGCCATATGTTCCTTCATACTTCCATAACTGAAGGCGATAATTAATTGCATTTATTTTTAAATAAACACTTCCCCTAGCCCATAAAATTTTTTCAGAAACAGTCCCAGTAATTCCACGCGTGTGTAACAGGACACTGCGCCGATCACAGCTCATAAAATGCCCCACACTAAATCCGTGCTTTAAATAACTGAGCACAATGGGCCTGCGAGTGCTAACGGGGAGACCCCCCTTATTAAAAAAAAAAAGAAAGAAAGAAACTCAGTGCCTGCTTCTACATATGGCAGCGGTGTTCCTGCGTGGAGGAATAATTAAGTGGAGCAGCTCAGGTTACCTGCTGGACATGATACTGCGAGCTCAAAGTCAGGGCCTAACCTCAAGCCCAAGGGCAGGTGTACACACGCGTTGTTCCTACACATACACACATACACACTGAAAGAAATCCAGAGCTTTACAAGCTGATATTTTATACATTTTGTTAAAATTATGTTATCCAGGAATTTTTTTTAGTAGTTTGAACCAAAACCAAATAAAATAACCAAATAATAATAATAAATCTCATTCATTTTCTGTTAAATTGACACTTCTGACTTTTCTTCTGAAACATCACGCAAAATTAATTTTTCCAATTTTCCCATATGGGATTATTCATATATATTTTTATTTTATTTTTCAGTCGATCTACTTTAAGGCGACTCGTGGGTCTAATTTGAACCGCGAGCTCATCTTGTGTATAGCTGAAGGGAGCGTCAATTGCTTTGTGGCAGGCTAGTTTAGATGTCATTATTTCAACCATTATGTTGTTACGGTGACAGGCCTTGGCTAAGGAAAATCTAACAATCACTAGGCCTATTTCTTTCCATCCGTGACAGGGAAAATAGAATATGGCTATGGCGTCTTTCTGCAGTTCATGTCGGGGAAGAGAGGGAAAAAAATCCAGCCTATTTTTGGTCGTCTATTGTTGACAGTGAACAACAGGAGGGGACAAAACAGCAATTCTGCGTTGCTTCCAAATGGTGGCCTGTAACCTTGAATCTTTTCTTACTGTCTCTCTGCTTTTTCTCCCTTCCTCTTTCTGTCTTTGTTATTCTTTTTTATTTCATTTTTTAGAGAAGAGCTCGCAATGCGCCTGGATCTCACCGAAGCCCGCGTTCAAGTAAGTGGCTCCGTGTTTATCTTTTATCTGAAAAAAAGAGAAGCTTGACTTGTAAATCAAATATAAGGGGAGGGGGTGGAGGGGAGAAAAGGAAAAGCAGCATCCTCTAATGTTTTATCTGTCCTCTATAAAATGTCTCCGATATGCAGCGCTGGATAATAACCGGTGATATGCGTCACTGATTGAGGATCAACGATTACGGGCCAATTTGAGGCAATAATTTATTACAGTAAAATGTGTTAAATGGCCCCAGTCGCTGCGCGGGGAAGGTCCTTCCTGTTATTGAATGTTATTACACGCGAACGGGGGACGTTTTAGTGGCTATTAAGCCGAGGCCGGCGATTCATAAAAAGCATACTTAGTGCAGGAGCAAACACTGTCTGTATTCCTGGGATGAGATGGTGTTTGAATTCCCATCAGAGGGGACAGATAGGGGGCGAGGCCGAGGTGTGTGTGTGTGTGTGTGCGTGTGCAAAAAAAAAAAAAAGAATGAAAGAGAGAGAGGGGGGAGGAGGAGGGAGGGGAGGGAGAGAAAGAGGGGAGGGATAATGCTATTTGATTTCCCATTATGTGATTGCAATAGACCTGCATTGATCCGATGCTTTGCACTTGGGAGCGAATGAGAGACCATTAAAGGTGTTTGCTCCCCCTCACCCCTCCACCACCAACAACCCCCCAGTCCCACTCTCTCTCCATCCATCCATCCGTCCATGCCCCCCTCCCCCCCTCGCCCTCCCTCTCTCCTTCGCTTTGCACTGAAAGCGTGGCTTGCATGTCGAAAGCCCGGGCTCATAACCAGAGAGACAGTTCAAACACGGTGGAAGCTCCGAGATGTTATTGCCGAAGGTAAAACAACAGATGTCTCTTTAGGGGCCGTAGGTGAACAAATCACTTAACGGGCGCCATCAGGAGGTGATAAAAACTCATAAATTCCCGAGGGGCTGTGTAATGCTAAACAGCCCTCTGGGAATAATGTGTGTGTGTGTGTGTGTGTGTGTGTGTGTGTGTGTGTGTGTGTGTGTGTGTGTGTGCGCGCGCAGTGCCTGTCGCTCAAGCCCCTGCTCTGTTCAGTCACTTTCCACATGTTGACATTTTGCTCATTGTGAGAGTCCCGTGCTTCTGCAGTGCAAACTGGGCAACAGTGGATGCGTGGGAAAGTTAAATAGTCTCTTGGATGGAAGTCACTCGTTCGACGTCTCTTAAGAATTTAATTTAAAGCGCATTAATTGTTATTGGAGCCAGTTCAGCGGTAATTTTCTGGATCTTTTGTTAACACCGCTCTTAATTATCTCTCCCCACCCGAAGCCCGTCTACAGGGAGGAGGGTTTAATTAGACAGAAAGTAGATTTAAGGGACCGTGAGCGGCGGGGTTTACCTTGCATGTAATTACCGGTGACTTTCCGCCTGTTGGCCACCACCTGAACTAGACAACTATTAGACTACACTGACACAACATTCAATAGAGATTATGTTAATTAGAGTGCGACATTGCTGTGAAGTAAGCAGGATAGAGAGTTATAGATCGAATTTTAACCTGGGTTACAACTAAGTCTAGCTTTGAGCAGACCCCTCTCTTGCCTCTGTGTAGGAAATTTGCTCTTTCTTTTCTCCTTTATCACTTATTAGTGTAAAAGTAATATCATTTTGTGTTGTATCTGCCATCTTGCTCCTAATACTGATGTGTTTCTCATCTTTTTCTGCCCTCAGGTGTGGTTTCAGAACCGAAGGGCCAAGTGGAGGAAACGCGAGAAGGCCGGGGTGCAGGCCCACCCGTCAGGCCTGCCATTTCCAGGCCCTCTTGCAGCGGGCCATCCTCTCAGCCACTACCTAGAGGGAGGACCCTTCCCTCCTCACCCACATCCAGCTCTGGAGTCTGCATGGACGGCTGCTGCAGCTGCAGCTGCAGCCTTCCCAGGCTTGGCTCCACCACCTCACAACGGCTCTGGCCCACCCTTGGCTGCCCCACTCGGCCTGGGCACCTTCCTGGGCACGGCTGCCATGTTTCGCCACCCTGCCTTTATTGGACCCACTTTTGGCAGGTAAGCTGCACCGATCGACAGACTTCCCTTGGATCTAATGAATGATAATTCTTTGGACAACGCATCTCCCGTTGGACTTTGTTCCTCCAATAAAAAATTGACCTTCATGTTTATTCCTGTGTTTTACAGTAAATGACAACAATTTTAGAGGCAGACACAGACAGAAAATGCAGAGCAGCATTACAGCTTAAAATAAACTGCCAGCAACTCTAATGAGTGATGTTTACACTAATCCTCAGTCACACTCCCTCACTGTTTATCTCAGTGTCTGATTACAAATATGTTATACTGTTAACCATTCACAGTGGCATGTAATCACTCTGTCAAACACCTTAATAAATTAACAGAACGTGTGATTGTGCAAGACAAGCTGTGAGGAGGGGTGACACGATACTCTCCATATGCCACAGTTACCTTCTCCATTATACACCATTATGCTTTCCATTTAGCTTTAATATAAAAGAATTCAGCATGGAATACATGACATAAATCTTTCCAAGGAGGAGGTTTGAGAATTCTAATGAGCAGGCAATGCTGTTCCTCTTCGTACGCCATCACTCTGACAGGCTTTTGGGTCATCCTGCGCTGTGATGTAGGAAGCAAAGAGAGAAATGCATAAATTAAACTTGAATATGGTTTTAATTTCAAATAATATATATAGATTTCTGCATTTTGTTCTTCTTTCAGGCTCTTCTCCAGTATGGGTCCTCTGACCAGTGCTTCCACCGCTGCAGCTCTCCTCCGTCAGCCCGCACCTCCTGTAGAGAACCCCTCCCACACGGGGCCCGTCCTCCCTGACCCTTCCTCATCTTCCTCCACTACTACTTCTTCAGCCGCAGCGGACCGCAGAGCCTCGAGTATCGCCGCGCTGCGCCTCAAGGCCAAGGAACACTCAGCTCAGCTCACCCAGCTAAACATCCTGCCCACCGGAGCCACAGGGAAGGAGGTGTGCTGAACACTCAACACCAGCTCTAGACCTCCCCGTCCTGGGCTTATGTCCCATCCCACGACACCCCACCCACCCAAAACTCCTCCAAATACCCCATTTGTACCTCTGGAAGCTGAAGTCCTGTTGCCTCCCCCCCTCCCCATGTTTAGCCATCCCTGTTACCTCATGTTTCCCCACCCCCAAAAATAGCACGACCAAATTTAAAGGAGCACTGGTTTTATAAAGGTGTGTGTGTGTGTGCGTGGTAATTGCAGTTATTATTACATTGCTTTACACTCCATACACACACTTCCCTGACAGACAGTCCACTAAATTACATATTTAACTTTTTAAAATGTTTCTACATTTGGATGTTTTAAGACACAGTCTAACAGAAGTCTTTTAAATATTTCTTGATTAATTTATAGTATACATGAACGTGACTTACAAAGTCTAACTACCAAATACATAAAAAATACAATTAAATTAATAAATAAAATAAATAAATCACCATTGGAGGAAGGTGGAAGTATATTTACTAAAATAATGTACTTAAGTACAAATATTTTGAGTATTTCTACTTCACTTTTGCGACATTCCAGAGGCCTTTACGTTATTTAAATATTAAATACAATTTAACTAGATTAAAACTGTTTCCACTTATTGTAATCCATTTTAATCTAATTGTTTTTAATAAATGTGGGTGACACCAAAAGGCCATTTTTAATCCACAGTTTCTGTGCATTTTTCTAATTCTTTCTCTGCATTCAATTATTTTAAAAACACCTTTTTCTTTTCTTTTTTTTAACCGACCATCTTCAGGCTGATTTTTACTTAAGAATCTGTCATCTTCCACACACACACACACACACACATGCACGCGCGCGCTGTGAGAGCTGAAGAACCGCAGGGGAACCCAGACTTCTAGAAAGAAATCTTGTGCTACTTCAAATGTGGACAACGGCGAGTGCTCGACATTAACACTGCTTAATCTGTATGCATTGATGTGGACTGAGCAGGTCTGCATCTATGACAAAGGCGTGTTGGAGGAGGTCCACCCTGAACCAAAGGAAAACTGTCCATAGACCTTCCATAGCCTTCTCTTCTACAAGCCTGACTCCTCTCCACTGCTCGCCTACCCGACCGTCACACTCAGCCGTCATATATACGTATATATATATATAAATATATATAGGCCTATATTTTTAAATCCCTGTATCAGTTCAGTGTGATTTAAGGTGGTTTGAGTCCACGTCAGCGCGAGATTTCTGTAAATTTACTGCAATTTTTGTCCTCCCTGTCTGGTTATCGCAGCGGTGGCATTTCCGCTGAGTGTGACTGCAGGGCACGCGAGCAGCGTTGAGATCTGGTGTTTCTTTAATGACCTGACTGTGTGAGAGAAAACTGTACATATTGTGTTTAAAAAAAAAAAGAGGAGGGGGAAAAAGTAAAAAAAAAAAAAAAAATCAAAACAAGGTCGTGTATATTTCAAGAGACCGTGTTTTGATCCTTTGCACTCGGTGTAGTGTGTAATGAATGTCGCCCTGTGTAGAATTCCACCCGTGTTTATCAATTATTAGGTTTTTAGATAATTATTTATGTCACCCTCCCTACCCCCCTTAAGGAAATGAGTGAAGGACGCTTTTTGTTTTTGTTTTTCTTATAATTATTAAGTGATTGTACGTTTCCTGGTTTAATATAACTAATTTGAATAAATTACATTGGTAAAATTTGTTATCGTTTATTATTTCAGATTCCTTTAGGACTCACATAGGCCTAAAACCAGGAAAATTAAATAATGCGAAATAGAATATTATAGAACTATTAATAAAAAGTGTTATGGAAAAAAAAATACGCTTTCTGTCTTAAATTGAATATTTATTTATTTATTTATTTTAAATGTATGCCACCGGTGCCATTAGAGAGCAATGCTGGAATGTAAAATAAATATCCAGCCAGCTTCACTCACAGGTTGCCTGGTGTTCACTCATGCCTGCAGGCCAGCTGAAACAAAGAAGAGGAATCTATCGAGATGCAGCTCCACCTGCAGAAAGCCAAAATCCACGAGGTGTTTAATCCGGTGCGCTGCGTGCGTCTATCCTCTTCAGTGGAGTTGACAAAATACTGACCATATATTCATGAGCTTAATCCCCAACATGTGAAACGCGCGACAAAGGAGAGGGGTTTTCAATTAGATCGCCCACTTTATCTTGGGGGGCCCGTCACAAAACTTCCTTTAAAACCCTTTAAAGGCGCTAAATTGGTCTTAACATCTGTAATGCCGTCTCGATGGAAGCGAGTTCCCTTTGTCATTAATGAAGTAACAAACCACTTCATCAAACTGCTTTCACACACACAACCTCGTAGAGTTAATTCCCCTCAATCCCCCCCCCCCTTCCCCTCCTCTCTCTCTCTCCATTGGATCTCGGTATACTGATGCAGGACTATTACAGCAATCAATGGTTACTCTCTTCGGTGCCCGACCAAATCGCGTGAAATTACCCTGCGGATTAATGTAGCCCATGTTTTTATTGTGTGCATCTATGGAAGAAGAAGAAGAAGAAAACCTGTTCTTGTCCCTTCAGTGCTCTTTGCTTTATGATCTTATACCTGTTAATCAGCCAATTTACTCCAAACATGCAGGAATTAGATCCGGCAGTAGACTGATGGAAAGATGTATCTGAATTTATCCCAATGCAGCTTCTGACAAAGTTACCCAGCCGCCCCTTGGAGCATAATGCAGAAAAAAAGAGATAAAAACCAATTTTCTCCTATGTGCCCAAACCACCATCCACGATGTGTGAGAGCTCCATGTTTTTTAAAATTTCCCTCATTCTTTTGCTCAAGCTCGGTGGAGCGTGTGTGTTTTTTCCTGTATAGGGTTTTGATGAGATTGTCCGGGAAGTTTTAATCTTATTGTGAATATAACTAATGAATGGCAAACCAATTTGTCCCTAATATCTGGGGAATGCCAGGAGGCGGGTGACCCGCTGGGAGCGAGGCTTAAACTTTCTTTGCAGCGCAAAAAGGCGAGAAAATTGAAATGCTGTCGAAGGCCAATGGCTCTGGATTTATAAAGTCACACTTGTTGGATGTGTGCCCTTCCATTCAAGACAGCGCCTGCACTTGGGATTAGGCCAGGAGGCTCCTTATTGCATGAATGACCATGATAATGAATGTTGATATAAAAAAGGGGCCGGCTGTCCAATCGCGAGCTGTTTTCTTGCAAATTGGTTGCAAGGAAAAAAAAGAAAGAAAAAGACGCCAAATCTGCATTATTTGCTGGATTGCGTCTGTGCACGGGGTCTTAATGCTGCTGCCCGCCTCTCGCAGGTAAATCCAAACGTCCAGAAAATCTCCCCCCACTGACTTGTCTGCCCATTTTCATCATTCTCCTTCTCCTTCCCCGAGCTGCTGGACTTGATTTGGTCCGTGATTTTGGATTCTCCCGGGCCTCGTCTCCCCCACCACGTCCCTGCCAGAGAGAATAGGTCCAATCACTCCACAGCCTCAGTCGGATCAGTCCTCACTCAGTCCCCGGGAGAGGAGCTCTAAAAGGCGCTTTGATGAACGGCTCCCCCTCCTTTCCCCCCAGGCGGAGAACCAGGCCCGATGAAAGACCTGAATAGCAGGGCCATGGCTCTCCGCTCCCCTCTCGGATCGCCCCTTAATTCCCCCGTCTCTCTTGCTCTCATCCAATTAGCTCAGTGTATTAAGCGGTTTATCGTCTCATAACCGCCCTTTCAGCTCCAACAAGGGAGACACTTTGCAATAGGACCAGCTCTCCTTTTGACACCCTCTCTGGTGCTTGTATGTTCCACCGCGCTATGAATAACAGCGACAGAATAGGGGACTAATTCCCTCATCAAAGCCTACCTTGTCCATCGCTGGTCAAAACGACAAGCAATAAAGCTTAACACGACAATACAAAGAGACTTGTTCGACCTTATTAGCTTAGCAGGGTCAAATTAATGCAGGGGACTTCATTTGACTGGTTTACTGCAAAGCGGGAGGACAAAACGGGGGCCCTTACTCAAAAAACCCCGCAGTCTGATAGAGGGAACAGGAGGCCTGAGCACAGCTACTGTGAGCTGAGGGTGATTAAATGGAGGGGAAAGTAAAGAAGGAAAAAAATAAGTTAGTGAGGGAGAAGTAGTGGCGCTAATATGCTTTAATAAATATGTAAAGTTATGGCTGTAAATGCATGCAGACGCTTTCTCTCACACACACTCAGCATGTTCTATCCATTGCATAGTGAATCACGGTTTAAGTGTTCGGCCCACTTAAGGTTGCCTTGACAAGTCACAGTGGTTTGAAGTGATTTGTGAGGCGTACAGTGTTTATGGAAATGCACACGGCAGGATGGAGTAAAAAAAATCCCTCGACTGTATTAACACAAAGGAGAATTCTTGGGAGGAAAAACGCGAGAAACACTCGAAGCAGCGGGTTACATGTTGAACTTTAAGTAGAGCTGAGTAAATACAGCCAGCATTTAGTACGCACAGGCTGGCATTACTATAGATTAACATGCATTTGGGCAGACGTTATAGTTTAATCCCTTTAACGGTGTGCTTGCACTGGGAGCAATCTGTGAGCAGGAATGCTTCGTGCACTGGGATTTAACTGGGTAAAATACTCTACCCTCAAATGATTACCTAGAACAAACTAACATGTCAATATACAGGCTTATAAAATGTCCTAATAGAAAGCTTTAAGTCTTCTCTCAGCTCCTGATTAGACTTATTTCTGGGACATAACTTTTCTGTGTTGGTCTTTATGTGAAAATAAGAAGATTAAAAAATTAATGTATATAATATTAGGACATTAATTTCATTTAGTACTCATTATAGACTTTATTAGCAGCAGTTTGATGCAGGAGCTATATTATTAACACTACATATAACCTGCTGCAGCAGATTCTATATGATCCTGAAGATGCGGAGCAAAATGACGAGCTACATCAGGCTCTGGACACAGATTACTGGGTAGTATGATTGATTCATTGTTGCTTTCAGTGGTCCTGTGAGCAAATGATGCTGAATGACGCTCTATTTAGCTACCCAGATGTCCCAATGTTGTGAACATTTTTCCCCCCATTTAATAAATCTGACTTTTATCACAGTGCCATTACAGTGCGTAGTGGCAAACCAGGATCTCCACCCACCCAGTTTGTCGTCTCCCCCACCCACTGCCCAAACAACACAGGACTAACTTCTTATCCATTTAGCCTTTTATTGAGGTTTCAGTGTGAAAAACATTAAATTGTTCAATATCAAAATATTCTGATCATTACAAAGAAACAGGACAAAAATCCTACTGAGAGATACAACTCTGTTACACAGAACATTAAATGCTTTAAAAACAATTTGCACAGAGGAGGAAGGGCAGGAGAGAGAGAGAGAGAGGGGGGGGTGTGAAAGAGATGAAATGACATCAGTTAAAACAGACGCAGTGGAGGAGAAGATCAGCTGTTCGATACTGGGACAAAAGAGCGAGGGAGCAGCGCGTGTGGCCTCCCTCACCCCGTCACTCCCTGCATCCTCCTTTACTCTTTTCTTTCATCCACTGATCTGACTCACACACACACACAGACACACACACAGGATGAATGGTAGTAATCAGAACAAGTGTCCGATCGCTGCAGGCATCCAGTGGTCTTAGAGGCTGGGGTCACTATCATTGGGTAATTAGCTGCTTTTGGACTATACTGGCTGCTCTGAGGATAAGTCATTTTTACACTCTCACACTTACACACACACGCACACACACATCTGGGCACAGCTAGCCTCTGCACGCACAATAGGCTGTCATTTAGGTATGATTGCTGCTTCCCTTTACCATACAGAGCCAGGGTGACGGGGTCAAATAATGAGAGAGTTTGTGTGGATGGGGAAGCTGTGATTGGGTTTTAAGCTATATTACAAGCCCATTAGCTACAGGGTAGATGACGTAAGGGTTAGGAGGCTGAGGTCTATATGTGGAAACTGCAAACAAAGAAAACAGATGTGGTTGTGTGAGCATATGTCCAGCTTTTTGAGTGAGAAACTGGAGCCTCTTGGTGGTGACGTCTTCATGGAGGTTTATGTTGTTTTACTTGAGGGAGGAGAAAGCCTGGAAGAGTTTGGCCAGGTTAATCTCCGAGTACCCGCTGGACGCCAGGGCTTTGTCTGGTACATCCTTTAGCTTCCGATAGACCTCTTTTTCTTCATTCATCTTGTTAAACGGTTCTGAAGGAGGACAGAAAGAAGATTTGATATTGTTAGAGCTCTGTAGAAGGATCATGCATGCATTTCAACCCAACTATTCACTCTTGGATGACTTCAGCTGTCCTCCACCCGTGGGATTAAGCTGTGCAGAGTCCTACTGTAGAGTAACAGAGAGCACAATGACTTTGTTTCTACTCATAAAAACTTAAAGAGTGTTTTAACCTTAAGTGGAGAGAGCTAACAGATCCAATGCTATCTGCAAGTAATGCTATCAAGTTTGAGGGCTAGGAGGGAGACCACACAGAATTGGACTGATGGGTCGATGGCGCACACACACACACACACGATCATAAGATCGATAGAAAACCCCAACGAGAGCATCAAGTCAATATTTTGCCCCCGTTATCTCTCCAGGTGGGCCGTAATAAGGCCAGAGAGAAGACTGAGCGGGCAGGGTGGCCACTACAACCAAATCTTTACAGTATTATACCAAGCGTCAAGTGTAGATGAAGTATCATCTACCAAGTAATAACACAGCATCAAACCAATGAGTGCAGCAAGCGACATTTGGTATAACAGCGAGCTGATGCAGGTGAAGAAGCAGGAAAATGGGCACTGTGTTTTTAATCTTTTCATTTTCAATTATAGGGGAGAAAGAAAAAAAACCCCTCACAAGCCGCAGTCATCACTTTTATTCACTTTACTTGCAACTTGGTCCTCGGAGCTTCAAATAAAAATCATTTAGGCACCATCACCACTTATTTGTAAACAACAACAATCAGAGGGTGTCAGCAGCAAATTAAAGTCAATGAGCAGTGAGGCTGTGGAAAATTGCATGGGGCATTTTTTTTAACTATTATTTCCTGACACTTTATAAAACAAATGATAAATTGAGTAAATAATTTGCATATTGACGGATTAAAAAAAACAAAAAAAAAAACAAGCTGGCAGCAGCTGGGACTGTGGCCGTCTTCAGATGTTTAACTTTGGACGATTTCAGAAGATCGGGCACGGATATTTTCCCCCAATTGTAGCACCCAGCAGGGGTCCGGGTGCTACATGTGTAGCCAAACTCATTCTCAGGACTGGAAATACAAACATGAGATTCACTTGCTAGCAGTGAATGCACCAGACAACAACAAAGACTTGGTGCCAAAGCAGGGTGGGAGCCGGCTAACATCCAAGTGGACTACATCGGACATTTACGCTCTTGCAAGCACGTCTGGTGGGCGATGTCTTTAAGAATGAAGGGCTGCAGTGGATGTGTGAAAACTGCTTATGTCACTGCTACCCTCAGCCCAAAGTGATGAGTTCACATTGCTGGTTTAGGTGGTATAATTCCATTAAATACTAAAGGCTTCATCTTTTTAAATGACTAAATGATTAAACGGACATCGATGTGATTAATTAAACAAAGTGTGTGCGTGTCTGTGTTTATCTAAATCACACACAAAGTCCTCCATATGGTCGACTGTCATGTCCTCGCCATCTCCTGTCTCGTCCTTCCTGCCTGCTGCATTAGTGGCTGCTGGATAAATACCAGCCCACCGACTGCCCAAGGGAACAAAGGTTAGATACACAGAGATCAACAGTGAGGCGCGCGCACACACAAAATACATGACAACGAAGGTAGTTAAACACTTAAAAAGCACAATAACTCAGTCACTAAAGACATCTATGTGACAGAAACAGCACATGCATGTGCACACACACCACGCACACATATAGAAGATGGTGTGGTTGACTTTAACACCAGCAGCCACTATTACCAGATAATCCTCACGTTAGCTAAGGATGGACAGGGATGGAGGGAGAAGAGAGGCAGGGAGAGGCAGACTAGTCTATTTATCCGGGGAATAGAAGGGGGGTGATGATGCATGATCAAGCGAAAGCAATCATGTCATCATTTCTGAAAGGTAGGAGAAAATAATTCTCCCCCCCCTCCTCACTCCTTTCTCTTTTCCACCTCAATCACTGCGTGGCGAACGGATAAAAGAATGATTTAAAAGTCACGGAGAGGAAAAGAAAGAAGGAGACACCTTGCTGCAAGTCGGGGCACAGTGGGGAGTGCGGTTCAAATAAATAGATTCCCCCTAAAGAGTGAGCGTGAGGTGGAGGTGAGAGGAGAAGCGAGGGGAGATGGTGATATTGGAAGGCCTAGATGTGAAGGGAAAAAAGGGGCAAAAATAGCAAAAAAAGAATGAAAAGAGGAACAAAGATATGAGAACAGAAAGCACACGCATCCTGAAAAGTTTGTCAAATTGATGAACCTGAATGGAAATTTGTCAACCAGGACACCATCTTTGTCTCCATGACACACCCACACACACACGCGTGCACATGGTCTCTCATGCGCGCACGCGCACGGTGAGTGTATCAGGGGTTATCTCTGCTCTAACTAGGTGTTGTCACACACTCGCGCACACGCTGGCGGTGCTGGGCACGAGTAGATCGGGGCTCTGCACGCTCTAACTAGGTGTAAATACAATAACAAGCCTGTAATTAAGTGAGCATGATGAAGTTAATGGAGATCGGCCATTCCGTCGGCCGCCTCCATGAATATTCTATTAGGCTGGTGGCGACGGGCAGCTGGAATAGCAGTTAATTTAATCACCACTCGGAGCACAGGGAAACTTCTTTGTGTGAGTGTAATTGCACAGAATGAATAATTGATTTGACAATCGCACCCGCGGATTTTGCCACCCCGCTTTGTATCGCCGGAGAAAGGGAGGGGAGGCGGGGAAGATGAGGAGAGAGTGAGGGAAGAAAATGCAGAGGAAAGAGAGGGAAAGGAGGAGAAAGAAGACAAGAGTGAGGGGGAAAAAAAGAGAGAAAAAAAGATGACGAGTGGGAGGGTAGAAGAGGACCAAATGCAGAGCACTGAGAGGTGGCAGGGAAGCTGCCGGTAAATGGATCATTAGAAAAGCGCAGCTCAAGGACAATTTATATTTTATCAATGCGGCAAAATTACATTATTGCTCACACACGCAATCATACTGCCCACACTCAAGATTGAGACCTACGGAGGGTGGGGTGGGGGGGGTTGGAAGGAAGAGAAAAGCAACAGACAGAGGAAACAAGGGGGAGGGAGATAAAAAAGGGAGAGCGGGGGGGGAGACTGAGAGAAGAAAAGTGACATGAAATGATTTGAAAGTCATTGATACGGGATGTTCCCAGCTAAGGAATGGACAGCATGGTTTTTTTTTTTATCATAGCGGTGTGTGACTCGGCGCGTGAGTGTGTGTGAGTGTGAGCGGGCGCGTGTGTGTGCCCAATCTATTAGAGATCTCCTGCAGCGGATGAAATTACCTCCATGTTTTACTCAGTCGCAGCAATCAGGCACAAAAATGCAATGTACATGTAGATAAGACAGGAGCACGCTTGCAAATGTGCGCACACTCACAAACATACTGAAGCACCACAGAGGACAAACACATACCACACAACACACACAAAAGCACACACGCACACACACACACAAGCGAGCTGATCAAATTACATTCTGCTTTGAATCAGAGCTCTTATGTAAAGCTATTTTCTTTTAATGGGCTTTATTATATATGTTCAGCATAATGGTAAACATTCAGCGTTTACAATGGTTGGACAATGCATAAATACCCAGATACAATCAAAAGTATGTGACACAATGGGCAGCATATCACGATGCATGTGTACTTTTAGTAAACAACGGGAAATGCAAACACAAAAAGATGAAGCCGCTGGCGTTTTATCGCGCTTTTTCAATAAGTTCCCTTCAAAAGACCAAAACCAACATCTTGTTAGTCAATCTCTCTAACATATAAACACAGCTATCAGGAGTGCTGACAGTACGGAGCATGAAAGATTGAGAGCAGCCTGCTGAGAGTAGCAGTAGTAGAAATACTACCTCTAGTACTGCAGCTACTGGTTTCCAGTGTTGATCAGTGTCACGGGCTTCTTGTTGTATTTTCCTGTATCCTCTGTTCTGTCATTATTCGCCCGTGCTAAAGTTCAACTCGCAGTGCAATTAAACAAAACCTGGAATTCGGTGAAGTTGAGAACCAAACATAAGACCCACCAAAACAACCTTGTTCTAAACAACAGAGTATACAGAGCTTCATCAGCTACAGACGAATGCACATTTTGTAGGCTGGTAAGTATTTTTATCAGCAGGTGTGCAGAATAGCAAAATGACATGAATATATGTTTATAGCAATAAAGAAACATTTCATGCTTTGCAAGCTGAGTGCAGGCAGGGTGGAGTGGATGGAGAAGCACGTCGGGAGTGATTTGCCACCGAAAGTGTGAAAGGAATATTTTACGCGATGGTAGAGAGATGATGTGCGTTATATCGGTTGGAGACGGGAGGCGGAGCTGGAGGCAGGTGAGTTAAAGATGCTGAGTTTTGTGTTGGCTGTGATGGAGATGGACACGATTAGAAATGTGTGTATCAGATGGACAGCTCAGGGACAAAGTGAGACATGCCAGACTGAATTGGTTTGGATGTGCAGAGCGTGTGTACTGGGAGAAGAACATGCGAGATGGAGCTGCCAGGCAAGAGGAAAAGAGAGAGGCCAAAGAGATGTGGCGAGAGAGGAGATGCAGGTGGCTGGCAAGACAGAGGTAGAAGCAGAGGACGGGAGGAGAAGCTGAAAGAAGAAGTCAGGCAGTGCTACAGTAAGGCTGGAAGAGTTACAGTGCTGGATGATAGACATTGATAAAGTGATAATACCTAAATAATATAAAAATAGATGGTTTTGTTTTCTCAGACATAACAATAAGAGGAATCCTGAACTTAAACCTGCGACTTTGCAACTTCAAAAACACTGGAAGAAAAAACAGCATAAAACAAATATAAAAAACCCCCAGATTTGACTGCTGATTCTATACATTTAATTAGATGACGCTTCACAACAAGCTTCCACAGGCGTTTTAAGGTGACTGCCTAGCAGATCGGCAGCACTTTGATCCTTAATGGGCCCAGCTGCCAAAAGATGACTCAGTTTGAGTAACGTTTCATTCTAAAATCTTGATTTCCTTCA